GCTTTGACGATGTCTGGTCATATTGTAACGACAGTAGACAGTGGCTAGGCAACCGATCGTTTATTGAGAAAATCAACAGATATTTATAGATTTATTATTAAAATTATGTACATTATTATTATTATTAGTGTTATTGTTAGCTGATTGATTGTTTTCTTGCTCAAGGTTATTCTGTTATCTCTTTGTGACCGTTTCTTTGAAGGTCAGATCATCTATTTGCGAATCGTACTTCAACATGTTAAGTCTGCTGCGATTGGTTGTTGTGTTCCTCAAGGTTAAGCTTTGTTATTGCTTTTTTTCTCATGACCTCGTTTCGGAAGGTAAACTGTTGCCTATAATTTTGGCTTGTTTGCAGACAGCTCTCATCACAATATAACTTGAAGTCGATAGGTGGGTGGTGACTAGCAGTGGAATCCAGGACATGCGCATTTCGTTCTACTTGGGACTCATCAGCTAGTGGAAGGACACCTGCACTTAGATCCAATCAATCGACGAGAAAATCTAAATTGAATGAAATAATTAATGAGACGACCCCAGCGCAAGAGGTGGCTCTCATGGCCTAAATGGTCTAGTGGATAACGTTTCGACTGGTGTTTGAAACTATGGGCACTGGGTCCGAGACTTGGTGGGAACACCGTCGCTCACTGGGAAATGCAGGTGCATCCCGCTAGCTGACGAGCCCAAAAATAGGACGAAATGCGCATATGCCCTGGATTTTACTGCTGGTCACCATCCGACAATTAATTTCAAATGTATGGTATTGCTAAAATTCATAAAGCAGGATATCCTATTCGGTTAATAATTGACTTCAGGCAAAAAACATCCCGACTTATTATGAATGTATTAATCGGTCCATGAGCCTAACTAGTAGGCCAGAAGACTTAAATAATGACATTAAACCAATAAAGGAAGTGTTATTAGTGAATAACTACCTACCAGAATGGACCCACCCAACTACAGGCGGAACTGTCGAGGAATATCAAAGCAAGCATCGGGAAAGCAAGACAAGCTTTCACTACTCTCAAGTCTGTGTGGAGATCAACACTCAGTACTCAACATGAAAAACTAGATCCGGATTTTCAACTCCAATATGAAGTCACTGCCACTCACTATGCAGATCAGAGACTTGGCGCCGCGTCATAAAGAGCACCTCAAACAAACTACAAACCTTCATTGGCAGCTGTCTTCGCTCAATACTACTCAAGATCAGATGACCGGCCAGAAAAGATCAGAAACAGGGATCTCTGTCAATGAGCGAACCAACCCAGCAGGAACCGATTGTGAAACAAATAGGCAGGAATAAATGGAGATGGATTAGTCATACTCTGAGGAAACCATCAAGTGACATCACTAGACAAGCCATCACTCGAGGGGAACCCGACAGAATGGGAAGCGGCGAGGTGGTCGTCCCAAAGTGGAGTGACTTGGAGGGGGTCATGTGAAGAGGAGATGAAAGCATGTGGGCAGACTTGGAGCCAGATGAAAACTCTAGCAGAGAACCGAACGCAATGGAGACGCGACGCTGAAGCCCTATGCTCCTCTAAGAATTAAAGGAAATAATAAAAATAATAAATAAATGATAAATACCTACCAGAATAATTCAGAAATATATGAAGACCCATGGAAAAAAAGACAAGATTAATAATGAAAACGATAAAAATAACAAAGAAAATAATATAGGAATTCAAAGCCCTCTGTAGTACTGCCGTATAAAGGAGGAACACATCGGAGACGCTGTGTAGAATTCTTAGTAAGACTGAAATATAAGAGTGGCATTCAAATTAACTAACTCACTCAGGGACAAACTTTGTCAACTTTAGAACAAGATAGATCCTAATAGGAAAAGTAATATAATTTACTAAATACCATCCATGTACTACAGCTCTTGTACTCTCTCCCAGTTGGTGACATTGTTCGCCGAATCAATGGGATTTGATTGACACTTGGTTAATTTGGTTGCTGGAGTGATTTCCTCTTAATGTAGACTTCAATACTAACAAACATCTGTTAGAGGTCATTAAAAACCAGTAGGGAGTATATGGGTGACTGTTTCGTCCAAGTTTGAGACTCTTCATCAGTGCACACCTACGACTCACCGTCACCTTGAGCTTATGTAATCTATATAAACGTATAGTATCAATCTCCAGCTCATTAATGACTACTGGATAGATGATTTCTCGAGGTTGTTCAGTGGCGTCCACCATGTCTGGCTGAAGTGAGTTATAACCGTTAGCATAGGTTATAGTTAGCGCTATATCACCAATTGTCTGACGTTATAATCCACATGTTGTTGAATTTCGACCCAATTGGCTGAACTGTCGTCTCATAACCTGAAGACCTCACGTTCGATCCTTGGTGAAGTCGTAGGTGAGCGTGATGAATAGTCCCAAACTAGGAGGAAACAGCCTTCCAATGCTTTCTGGTTTCCAGTGATCTTTGTAATTGATGTTGGTTCATTACGGAATCCACACTGAAATTAGTTCAAATTCTTACAGAAATCAATATTCTAAATATCGATTTTCAGAGGTTATTCATTTGTTCACACTTCGTCAGAAGAGATCCTTGATGGTGTAGATCACATAGATCTGGCTAACTCTACTGACTCTACTTATTTCAATGAGTAGTACATACCAATACTGGTAAAAAGAAATATCATTTTCAAACGTTTATGATTGTGTGGAGTTGATTGGAATTTAATTTAACTTCAGATTTTCTCGTCGATTGATTGGACTGAAGTACTTGGTCTCAGGTTGACATGTCTGTCAGCTTCTTCATGTGCAGATGCTTCGACGATGTCTGGAATTTAATTAGAATTTAATTTGTGGATGGTGACTAGCAGTGGAATCCAGGATAACGCGCATTTCGTTCTATTTGGGACTGTTCATCTGGATGTATCTGTATTCCCCAGTAAGTGAGTGATGATGTCCCCAACGAGGCTCGAGCCCAGCGCCCATAGTTTCAAATGCCAGCCTAAGCGTTATTCACTAGACCACGAGAGCCACCTCTTGTTGCAACTGGTCATATTAATTTAATTTAACTTCAGATTTTCTCGTCGATTGATTGGACCGAAGTGCTCGGTCTTAGGTTGACATGTCGGCTTCTTGTGCAGATGCTTCGACGATGTCACTTAACCCTAAGTGACTTCAGAGACTCAGGGATTGACTTGTTACCATCAGTAGAATAATCTCGTCGACTTAGAATATGCAGTTGATATAATCCTCTTCCTAGATGTAGGGACTCTGGCAAAATAGAGCAGAGTCTTCTGAACACCTTGAGCTGCAATCTACGAATGTTTGGCATGTGATTCGCTCCCGCCAAATGTAAGATGATCAGGCTACATGACTGGACTACATTGACTCCTAGCTTAGAATTAGGGAGTGAAGTGGATGGTGGAGTGTGTTGACCACTTCACTTATTTGGGAAGTGGCATCAGCCAACGTCAACGGGTTGATCGCTGACGAAATCTCAGCATGGATACAGAAGGCTCGTTTCTCATATGTCGGTTTACGCCGTCTCTGGCGTAGGCGTGATACCCGGCTACCTGTTGAGCAAAGGACGTGTGTACTGCTCAGCAGTCCGCTCCGTCCTCCTTAGTGTCTGGCTGTGAGGCCTGGCCATCGAGAGTGGAAGACGTGGACGGCCTGCCTGCGTTCTACCTCCCATGTTAGGCGGTGGTGTAATAGGGTGAGCAATATTGAGGTTAGGCGTCGAGTGCTAAGTAAGGAGGAGGGGAAATCAATCGATATGGCTGTGAAGTTACGTCGACTGAGATTGGTAGGACATATGTTACGTATGCATAGCTAGCCATCGCCTTCATCGACAACGGGCAATGTTAGCTGACATAGGGACAGGCTGGGAAAGAGCTAGCGGTGGTCAAACCAAAACATGTCCTCCCCAATCACTGAAATCGACAACAGTTGGTTTAAGCCAGCTAGCCATGTAGGAAGGTGTAGACTTCCTGACTGGTTGGTGTCCTCGGGACGGTAAACATGAATGGCTGAAGACAATTGGTGATATGGCTCAAAATCGTTCTCAATGGCTGGCCAGTGAAGATGCATCCACTCCTTGTGACCTATGATTTCCAATGTAACTATGTTGTTCTTCGTTATTACTATTCATTTTGTCTCACACCTCTGTTTACTATCTCTCTGTTATGCATTTCTCCTGCTTTCTTCTCTTGGTTTGTGTGCTACATGGAGTGTGACGACTTGAAATGCTGCACATCGGTGCAAAGTTCTGTGTCGGAAAACAGACAGACTGGACTGTCTGTTTTTCCCCCTGGTTTATAACGCTTCATCAGTATGCGACCATTGGGGTTCGCAGGACCCAGGACTTTCGGGTGGCAAGGCCAGCTCGTAGACAACCATGCAGCCACTGTGATCCGTTCCAATGGTCTGGGAATTCCAACTTCTACTGATTCGTGATATGTATTTAACACAACCGTCAGTCAGTTTCGCAGGCGAGTAACAATCGTCTTGCATGACATGGTGGATCCCGCTAGGAGGTCATGGGTTCGAACCTCACTGGGCGCGTGCTCTGAAGAGTCTCAAAACAGGACGAAACAGCAGCCTAGTACTCCTTGCTAGTTTTCCAGTGGTTTTCTAGGTGATATCGCCAGTTGTGTCCAGCTGTTGTTTTCTAAGCATCTCAATGGCCTTAACCAGGCGGTCCACACCTCCTTACACGTCTGGCTGAAACCGACTTCCAAAGATTTCATGGAGTGATGCGCCAAGTTTCGTTCTGACCACCGCTAGCTGTTTTCTAACCTAATCCTATGTGAACTAATATTGCCTACCGATGGCTCAGGTTGCGCAACATGTGTTCTCGCCATATCAGTCGATGCAATTTCATCACCTTAGAGAAAATAGCCACTTCAGAAACATCCCTCCATTTCATCTATAATCCTTGTCCGCTTATTTCAAAATGTTAATCTCCTCTTCGGTGTTTCCTTCCTTTTTCAGGGTGCCCAGAACTGTGTAGGATAGTAATATTTTGATGTGATGGGTGCAGAACAAAGTGTTGTTGGCCACCAGAAGTCGTCTAGTATTCAACAAAATCTTCACACAACTGTTTTATCGCCGACGTCTTCTTCTTCTTCTCATTCGAAGCCCACAAAACAGACAGGTAATTTTTTTTGTTCGTTCTTTGTATACAGTACCTTTGATATTCCTTTCCCAAGATTTGTTGGTAAGGCAGATTGATTAAATTATCTAATTACATTTATAAGAAAAAGGCACAAACAGCGAAGAAAATTTTACCCTCGTTTCGACGATTCATTTTCATGTGCTGCTATAGTATTGGTTTTGTAGGGATTTTGTTTGATTGCATCGAGGATTTCATCGTGAGCTGACATCATTTAGAGAAACACTATAAAACCTGGGAGTACTGGACAGCCAGCTGTTCCATCATCCTAGTTTGGGACTCTTCATCAGCGCGCACCCTTTCGACAGGGTTTGAGCCCATGAACTTCTGGTTACAAGGCTAGTGAGCTCGTAGACCATTGAGCCACTGGAAAGCCGTGACCAGTAGGGTGCAATAGGTCGAAGATGAGGCAGTAACTCATCGAAGAAGAAGAAGACATTGTGAAATGGTCGCGTTATGTCGTGAATTGACAGAAGTTAGAATTCAAGATCCATTGGATCGGTTCCCAGTGGCTTGTAACCAAAAGGTCCTGGATTTGAACCCTGGCGGTGGGTGCGTACTGATGAAGAGTCCCAAACTAGGCAGATGAAACAGCTGTCCAGTACTCCCAGGTTTTCCAATGGTTCTCTAACTAATGTCAGCTCATGATGAAATCCTCCATGTAATTATATTTAACAAAGAAATCTTTAGACCAATCAGATATGGGTAAACTTTATCCTCGAAAAATGTATTACATAATGCAAGATGCAACCTATAGGGGATGATTAATTGGAAGTGAGAAAAGAGGTAGCAGAAGCTGGCACGATGTGATAAGTGTGAGATCCTGACTAATCAATAAACTCGTGTAGAATGAACAAGAACTAGTGGAAAGGCTATAAAGTGTTTTTATATAAAATCTGTATTGAGAAGCAATGTTATTAATAAACAGTAATAGAGTGGTAATAAGGTATAGATGATGGGTATAATGATGTTAAATCACGTAATAAAAATGGAAGAAGCAAATTATGGCAAGAATTGTACTTTGGCCACGATAGAGCGAGTGAATGTATGTGACGCTTTTGAAGGCAGAGGTCCGGTTTCAGATCTCGAATAGCTAATGCTTCAGCTATGTACAGATGTCGTATCCGAAGTCGCTTTGTACGATATTGAGGGACTCTGTGTAGCACTGTGATGCATCTATTAGGGGTGGGGGTGCTCCATGTCCGGAGATGACAAGGTGTTCTAGGATGAAGCTGCTACTATTCTTTTTTTCTCCTCTGGCTGGCTAACCATAGTGGGCAATGTTCGAGAATACATTTATAGACTTGACGTTGCATACGGCCGATACACTTTGCTCCACACGAACAAGTTAACGGATAAATACACGTGGAAGTGGCCAAAAGCGGTATCTTACCCTTAACGTTAGACTGGGTTGACTGTCTGGTTGAGAATGTGATACGTAAGATGGCTGTTGGAAATGTTTTCTTCAGACATTTAGAAAGGCGGTTTCCGAGGATTTCCGCTGCGATGTTACCTTTGAATTCCAAATTCATGAAGAGAGTTTTCTTACGAAGAGTTGTGATGTTTGGCGATGGAGGTTTCTATTTCATCTTCTTGTCGAAGAATCTTGGTGGATGCCCGTTCTCTTCCAGTAGAGTTTCACGTAACAATATTTGCTTCTTTCTCTATCATGTTTTCCGAGCAGATTTTTCTAATTCTTGAACACAACATATATTTAGTTTATTGGTTATAGATATATGGATATGGATCGACCGTACGTTGGGGAGGTTTTCAAAATCTTCTGCAGTCTGTAGCATGAAGAACAAGATTCCGATTTTAAACACAAATGTCAGTGAAGTTGGTCAGTCACTTCTTCTATAGTGGTCACAAACGTAGCGTGCATGGACTCATGGAAAGCATTATTTCCAACTAGCCACTGGAGACTTTTATCAACGCGTGCTGTCAAATATCGAGTTTGTTGCGATCCTGAACCTATCGCTGGTTTCAGAAGATTAAGCTCAATGAATCCAATACTATGCACTGTCACTGACACGGGAACGGTTGGGCAACACAATTATTTATTACAGGATTTCATCATGAGCTGACATCAGTTAGAGTACCATTGGAAGAACCTGGGAGTCTTGGATAGCTGTTTCGTCCACCTAGTTTGGGACTCTTCAGCAGTACGCGCTCACCTGGGTTTAAACCTAGGACCTTCTGATAACAAGGCTAGCGAGCTCATAGACCATTAGACCACTGGGACCCGATCCAATGCGAAGCCCATGAGTTCTAACTTCTGCCAATTCATGCACGACATAGCGCGACCCCTAGCCAATGTCTTCGGCGAGTATTTCTCCTTACACCCGACCTGCTGCACCCTACTGGCCACGATTTCTCACTAGAACCCCAGGTAACTACCTACCTGAATAGGGCAAACCGTTAGTGAGCATCTCATTGATATTCAGGGGTTGGTTTGTAGGGATTTGATTGATTGGTGACAGGATTTCATCATGAGCTGACATTGGTTAGAGAACCATTGTTGCCTTGTAACCAGAGGGTCCTGGGTTCGAATCCCAGTGGGTGCGTACTGATGAAGGGTCCCAAAGTAGGACGAAACAGCTGTCCAGTACTCCTGATTGGTTTTCCAGTGGTTCTCTAACTAATGTCAGCTCATGATGAAATCCTGTAACCAATCAACCAAATCCCTACAAACCAACATCTGAATAACAATTCTTCATTCTTCAAGCAATAACAAAACAGATTTACTTACATTGGTTAATCATTGCTGAAAGTTTGTAAATAAACGTTAATATTATAATGTACAACGATACTTCTGATCGTGTTTCTTCAATCTTCTGCCAATCAGTACACGATTTAGCAATGACCGCCTTCTTGTCACCCGGCAATATAGACCAATTCGAATAAACAAACTATTCACTGTTCACCAACGAGGACAACTGCCTTCGCTAGCTGGCTGCATACTGAAGATCAAATGGCCAAAAAAATTAGTAACAAGAAACTCTGCAGTGGAGGAAACCAACCAACAGGCGAAAGCGGATTTCTCAACAAATATATAGGAGAAAATGGACATGGATTGGTCGGGCATACGTTAAGGAGGCCGTTGAATGATATCGCTCAACAGAGAGGCGATTGCTTAAGTGGAGTCCGAATGGGAAACGACGAGCGGTTCGTAGGTGTAAGGATGAAATGAAGGAGATCATGCCAGTTAGAAGAGGTGAGAGATTATGGGCAATCGTGGAACCAGCCAGCTGAAAAGGATAGCATGAAATAGAACAAAGTGGAGACGAGTTGTTGAAGCCCAGGGGAATAATAATAATATTGGTTATTTTCTATAGTTTGGTTTGTAAGGGTTAGTTTTGTTTTTATGAGTTGATCACGAATTTATATCAGTTAGAGAATCATTGAAAACCAGCACTGGAGTACTGGACAGCTGCTGTTTCATCCTAGTTTGTCCAGTACTCCTGTGACCTGCCACAGGATGCAGTTTTCTGGAGTCAGTTCTAGTGAGAAGTCGTCGTGACCAGTGAGGTCCATCCAGATGTCACATGTGAGGATGGATGTGTCCCACCGACGATATTGATCGCGCGCGCCAGTCGCGCTAAATGCATCACGAATTGATAGAAGTTAGAATTCATGGAATGACCATTGAGGAGCCGTGGTGTCCCAGTGGCTGAGTAATGGTCTACGAGTTAGTTTGCCTTGTAACTGGAAGGTCCTGGGTTCAAACCCCAACGCAGTGGGATGAAACAGCTGTCCAGTACTCCAGTGCTGGTTTTCAATAGTTCTCTAACTGATATATATATATTCGTTATATAAATTATGAGAATTTCATAAAGATTTCTTAAAGTGGTTACGTAATCAACACTGGGTATTATCTAAATATGATAAATATTTTCTGTTTTTAGTATAGAATTGGTGGATGGTGGCTAGCAGTGGAATCCAGGAGGCACATTTCGCCCCATTTGGGACTCGTCAGCTGGATGTACCCGCATTTCTCGGTGAAAACATCATCATCACTCAGTGAGAAATGCAGGTACATCCAGCTGACGAGTCCCAAATAGGACGAAATGCGCGTTATCCTGGATTCCACTGCTAGTCACCATCCACCAATTAACTTCTAATTGCATGCCCAGACATCGTTGAAGCATCTGCACAAGAAGCCGGCCGGCTGACATGTCAACCTGAGACCGAGCACTTTGGTCCAATCAATCGAGGGGAAAATCAAAAATTCAATTCAATAATTTTCTGTTTTTGTTGTTATTTTTTTCTTTCGACCAAAATAATTACATATATATATATATATATATATATATATATTCAATATCTCTTCTAGGTCATTCTTCATCTGTCCCATCTTCACCGCATTACGATTGGCGTCGTCAATCATTCACAGGACCAGTTGTCAATAACACCACCGCTAGTAATAGTAACAGTCAACTAGTTCCATCTAATCGTCAACAGCAGTCTCATCAGAAACAACAAAGAACTTCATTATCGAGTTTATCAAAAGATGTCACAATATCACAATCATCTTTCTTATTCCCATCAACAGCTTCAATAGTTGAACCATGTTTGAGCCAATCGCATCGATCCCTTTCAACAAAATCATTGAATTACTCCCTGGATAAGTCTACAGGGACATCAACGTCGCATAAACATTCCAGTGGTATTTTGGTTGTAAATCGTGGCCGATATGCATCAAGTCAATACGAATTGAACACTTGTGGAGATGTTATCAGTAGCTATAGTAATAATAATAATAATAGTAGTACAAATAATTATTATACAGACATTGGTATCAGCCAGTTGAAGAAACTTCAACGAATATCTACATTTGAACCACTTTTATCCGTTAATAGTGGTAGTAATACTAGGGGTGGCGGAGTCGACGTTAAAACGCCATCCTCGTCATCTCACTCAACAACAACAACAACAGTGAATAAACAGACTACTAGTACTGGTGTAAACACTCAGTCGTCAACAGGATTTAGAAAGAAACAATTTATTCCTCACATTCCAGAATTTGAATGTGATGAGGTAATGTAGTTTTTTTTCCTTTAATTGTCTCATTTTTATTAGAATCCGCTGACCTTTCCAGTGGATTCGACAAAGTCGAAAGAACCTTCCGCTCTGATTGGTTCTAGTAGGTCTCCCTAACTATCGGGTAGTGCGATGATAAGGCTAACACTTCATATTGAGGTGTTCACCTTTTTTGTTTACTTTCGGCAATTCATATACAGTCAGCGATAGTCTCAGAGATTTGAAGATTTCAGCGTTAATGAACGTTTCAGTCTTCAAAGGATCTATGTTCCGTCATTTTCTTTTCATTGATAAGGCTTTGTGAATATAGAATTGTCGGATAGGATGATAAAACATTTTAAATATATAGCTCTTACGATTCATGATTACGATTCGCGCCCACCCACCCACCCCCCACCTTTATCAGGGTGTATCAGCTCTTTATTAACTCATTCAAGAAACATTAATTGACGATAAAATGTTCGAATCTTTGAAGCCATCTGGATGTAATATGCCCCAACGCTATGGATTACCGAAAGTGCATCGGTGACACAGCCGTTAGGACTCTCGCCGACCATGCACATGGTCCGGGGTTCGATCCTCTGCTGACGCATACCCGATATCAATTATCGGCCTGCTACATTCGGGCTACCAATATCCATACTCGTATCAAAACTACGGTATGGAATCAAGCTATAATGAAAAAAAAGAAAGACGCTCATTTCTTCGACCTGTTCTAGATGTGAAGAATTCGCCTTATCATTTCACTAACCGATAGTTAGTAGACCTACTGGAAACAATCAGAAGGCAAGTTTTTTACCGCTCACTTACTCTACGATTCCTTGGGCTTTGTGGTATTACTGTTTGCGAACGTCCCACTAACTGCAACAATATGCTGCTACATATGCGAAAATATTGATTCAAAGGGGATAAACCTTGGTATAACCCACTTCTGGTTTAGAAGGTAGATTATTTTGTTTAATTAACACGACTCCACAGAATACGGATACCTTGGTGTTGCCAGGAGTAATCATAATAATATGGCTTCAACATAATATCTCCACATTTTGTCGTATTCTTTGCTATCCTCTTCAGCTGGCCTCATGGCTGCCCATAGTCCCTCATATCCTCCTCCTCCTTCTCCTCTTCACATGATCTCCTTCTTGCTGCCCAACTCCCCCTTGGGGAGGGGATTTTTTTCTAGTTCTACTGCTTTTCTGGATTTCAGTAGCTTTATGGCATTAGGAGATAACATATAGACTGACTAGCTAGCTAGCTAGCTAGGTCTCCGGTTGCCTTCGACTAGCTTACATCATTTCGTGTCTCCGATTCGAGCAAAGAATGGGTTTATACTTTTTACCACTTTTTTCCTTCTTGTGTTTTTTTGAAGTTTCTGTAGAGATTGTATTGATTTTTTTGCAGTGCGATCGCTAGCCCCTCTCGCTCCGTCCTCCTTAATGGCTGTGAGCTGGATATGGCCATTGAGAGTGGAAGACATGAAAAGATTAGGTGTCTTCGATCATAGGTGCCTGCGTTCTATTTCCCATGTTAGGCGGTGGTGTAATAGGTTAGACCTCAGTTGAGTGCTAGGTAGGTGGGAGGGGAAATCAATCGACGAGGCTGTGAAGTTACATCGACTGAGATTGGTAGGACATATGTTACGTGTGCATACCTAGCCATCGCCTTCCTCGACTGACGGGCGATGTTAGCTGACATAGGGACAGGCTGGAAAACAGCTAGCGGCAGTCAAACGAAAACATGGCTTCATCAGTCAATGAAATCCACAACAGTTAGTTTAAGCCAGGCAGCCATGTAGGAAGGTGTAGGCTTCCTGACTGGTTGGTGTCTTCAGCACGGTAAAAACCAATGGCTGGAAACAGTTGGTGATATGGCTGGCTTAAAATCGTTCTGGATGGCTAGCGCAAATGCATCCACTCCTTGTGACTTATAATATCCAATGAAACTATATTGTTCTTCGTTATTACTCCTCCTTTGTCTCACATCTCTGTTTACTGTCTCTATTATGCATTTCTCTTGCTTTTTGCGATACATTGAGTGTGGCGAGTTGAACTGTTGCACATCGCTGTAAAGTTCTTTGTCGAAAACAGACAGACAGACAGACAGCCCCACATTCAACATTCCCGCTTTATCCAGTCTTAGGACCGGTCAGTAGACCAGTAAACTAGAAGAGGCCTTTTTTTGAAAATCAACAAACTGGCTGAAGAAGCAGCCAGAGAAGACAGAACTCTAAGTGAACATAAAGAAGACGAATGGAGGTGATAAAGATAACCAACCGACCAAGAACCAGTACCAATCACCATCAACAGGAGAGATTTGTCAGAGGTTAGTAACTTCCTTCACTAATCTGCTCATCAGTCCGCTCCGTCCTCCTTTATGGTTGTGAGACCTGGCCAATGAGAGTGGAAGACATGAAAAGACTAGCTGTCTTTGATCATAGGTGCCTACGCTCTATTTCCTGTGTAAAGTGGCATAATAAGGTGAGCAACATGGAGGTTAGGCGTCGAGTTCTAGGTAAACAGGGGAAATCAATCGACGAAGTCGTGAAGCTACATCGACTGAGATGGTTAGGACATGTGTTACGTATGCCAAGCCATCGCCTCCCTCGACGAGCAATGTTAGCGGATATAGGATCAGGCTGGAAAAAAGCTAGCGGCGGTCAAACAAAAACTTGGCATCAGTCAATGAAATCCACAACAGTTGGTCTAAGCCACGTAGAAAGGTGTAGACTTCGTGGGTGGGGTCCTCGGGACGGTAAAAATCTATGGTTGGAAACAATTGGTGACATGGCTCAAAATCGTTCTCAGTGGCGCAGATGCATCCACTCCTTGTGACTTATGATCTCCAATGAAACTGTTTTGTTATTCTTTATTCTCCTTTGTCTCACACCTCTCCTCACTGTTTCTATTATGCTTTTCTTGTACTTTCTTCTCTTGCTTCGCGTGCTACACGGAATGTGGCGACTTGAACTTCCGCACATTTGTGCAAAGTTCTATGTCGAAAACAGACAGACAGACAGAATGCCAGAAAGCATCGTTTCAACTACAGATAGTCGGACAACACGGATGAAGAGATGTCAAAGCAGACCAACCGGTCAGAATCGGAAAGGCAAGGTAAACATCTCCATCAGTTTTACACCAGTTTGTAAATCTTCTACTTTCACTCATCAGCAGCATAAACAACAAGATTCAGATTCTGTTCAACACAAATGTCATTGAAGTCAGTCAACCACCAGTTCTTCTATACTACATGGGTCAGAAACTTGGCCAATGTGCTTGTCACGAAAAGGATTTTCAACAAGCCATTGCAACAAACTCTTACCAACAGCTGATCGATTCTCTGGTTGGATCCATACTGAAGATCAAATCGGTAGAAACAATTAGTAACAAGAATCTCTGCAATGGAACAAATCAATCAACAAACGAGAGCCGACTACTGGTCAGCAAATATGTAAGAGAAAATGGGAATGGATCGGTTGAGCATACGTTGTGAGAGGAGGTTGCTGAATGACGTCGCGTACAATTTTGGCCATCGCTTGTGTGGAATCCCAATGGGAAGCGATGAGTGGTTCGTTGGTGCGATAATGACATGGGGGAGTTCGCGTGTGGAGGGGAGGAGGAGATGAGAGATTATGGGCAGTCGTGGTGCCAGTCAGCTGAAGAGGACAGCATCAAATAATAATAATAATGATTTGCTTTATTCCATAAACATTACTTGTGAAACAGAATGGAATTTTCAGCATTAATCACAATATTGCATCGAATTTCCTCAAGTTATAAATAAAATTAATCACACAGAAAATTTTCCACATTTACAATAGAGGTAGTGTCAAAAACATGCTGCATATAAAATGGAAATACCAATAATAATGATAACAGCTAGGGTAATAATAATAAGAATACAAGTGAAAATTGCCGTTGGCTTGTGTCACACAGTATTGGCAATGTGGTATAGAAATCCTAACATGTTTAAAAATATTGAGTATAATGTTCTCTTTAAATGATATGGTGAGGGGAAAAACAAAGATTACAGCAGTCATAGAGATAAGTTGGTGTTTGCAATTATGAGAGTAAAACAAACAAAGAAGTAACAGGACCATAAATATAATAGAAGTAATAAAAGTAAAACTTGAAGGTATATAAGGATGGATGGATGGATGGAGGAAATTGTTTATTTACTATATAAAAAAGGTTAGTTAATTTTTGCCTGACACTATTTTCATCATCACATAAAATACGTGCCAAGTATGGTATCATAGAATTTCTATACTTAGACGTGCGAGCATACAGTTTTCTGAAGTTACTCCTTGTTCTACCTGAGGCGGAGATGCAAGGTGAAAGCTGAGGGTAAAGTGGATGCTCCAAGTCAGACGACAAAATCTCTTTAGCAAATGTATTGCACGAAGTCAATTGCCTATCGACAACGACGTTAACTATGTTGTCCACTGGGACACCACTCATCCTACTGACAGTCTTCAGTATTCTACGAATTGTGACATAGTCCTTTTTAAGCAAACCAGGAGAGAATAAGTAAGGGTGAACAATAAAGAAGAATAGGTAGGATGCAAGAGTTTATGAACTGTAAGATGAGGGGGAGGGTTGAGTTATACCCGAGTGTCTTAACTTCTTAATGTAAAATATCAGGAGGAATATTTTACTGGAGATCGCTAAGACATGGGAAGATTCTGGAACGTCTGGATTTCTCAGATGATATTTGTGTAATGTCATATAAACTCGAAGACTTACAGGCGAAAACCGACAAACTGACTGAAGAAGCAGCCTGGGAAGGCAGTACTCCTCCAGGCGAACATAGAGAAGACAGAACAAAGTGGAGGTATGTTGTTGAAGCCTTATGTTCCACTTGGAACCGAAGGGAATAATACTAATACTAATAATATATATATCTCCGTTAATTTGATGAATTTCGTGATTCACTAATTTAATTTTTTTTGTTTGTAAATTTTCTTACAGTTGATTCAACTTTCATTGACTTATGAAGAATATTTGCATAAATACGCGACAGAAGTATCACAAAAACAATCCGATATAATAACTATACAAAATAAAGTAAGCTTTTTTTTAAAATTCCTTTACGTTACGTAAATCATAAGTCACAAGGAGTGGATGCATCTGCTCCATTGAAACCGATCACTTTGACGCGTATCATTGATTGCTTCCAGCCATCATTGGTTTCTACCATCCCGAGGACCCCAACCAGTCAGGAAGTCTACACCTTCCAATGTGACTGGCTTAAGCTAACTGTTGTGTATTTCATTGACTGGGGAGGCCATGTTTTAGTTTGACCGCCTCTAGCTCTTTTCCAGCATGTCCCTATGTAAGCTAACATTGCCCGTCAGTCGAGGAAAGCGATGGCTAGCTATGCATACGTAACACATGTCCTAAGCACCTCAATCGATGTAATTTCACAGCCTCGTCGATTGACTTCTCCTCCTTACCTAGCACTCAATATTGCTTACCCTATTATACCACTTCAAACGGGAAATAGAACTCAGGGATCAGTGATCAAAGACAGATAGCTAGTCTTTTCATGTCTTCCACTCTCAAAGGCCAGGTCTCACAGCCAGCCATTAAAGAGGACGGAGTGGACTGCTGAGCAGTACAGTCGCCCTTTGGTCGACAACCAGTTGGATATCACGTCTACACCAGAGAAGGCGTAAACTGGCATATGCGAAACTCGCTTTCTGTATCCGTGCTGAGATTTTGTCACCGATCAACCTGTTGACGTTGGCTGATGCAACTTCCCAAATAAGTGAAGTGGTCAACACACTCCACCAACCACTTCACTCCTGCCTATTTCCATGCTAGGAGTGGTCGATGTAGTCCAGTCCTACAGTAACCAATCAGAACAGTTTATTATCTCTTGACCTAATCCCCGTTTAAATTTGGTTAAAAATGTGTAAATATGGTGTGTCTTGCCTCCATAAAGTGTGTACTCCGTAACCAAGTCTCTTGTCTTCTTATGTTACACTCTACTGTAATTTCAAGACTGCAGTTTGACAACCCTCCTAACCCCCCCCCATCCACCATATTCTATTCAAAACTTAAGTTAGTGAGTGAACAAACAGAATATGCTTTTTGTTCATTTATCCGCTTTGTATATTTAATTAATTTCAGTTTTTCAAATGCTACGGATAATGAAAATGGTAATAATAGTAATGATCAAGTTCTTTAATTCAGCCTAGTTTTGATCGGGATTGAAACATAAATACTTCCATTGTCACCAGTTATCAGATGACTTCAACCTGTGATTCCCATCAGTGAATACTTTTTATTTAAGTAGTTGATATGTATCCACATGATGTATGTTTTGTTTTTGACAGTCTGTTATATTTTTTTTGCTATGTGTATATGGATCGATATTCCTTTACAACTGACATTATGCTTTTGTCTGTCCACTAACTAAATGAACAATGTATGACCTTGTTATCACATGGTAAGACGTTATCTTATTGGTCCATGTGTATTAGCCATTTTCATATATACTCTTGCTTTATCAATTCTTGTTCACACACGTTTTCGTACGCTCCTTACCAATTCACTCACACTCTTGTGTGACAGTCATTATTTTCCTTGTCTGGAAAATACAAGTATCATCGTAAGCCTGGTGGTCTTCTGATTTCCCTCTTTCCACGTTAGGACTATTAACTACTCGACGAGTACATAACATATTTGGCGACGGGAAAAACTCGAATAACTCACTCAGCAGCAGTACATAATAGTAGTATACATATTTGTGTGTGTGTGTGTACACGTGAGAGAGGGAAAGAGAGATTCCATATTAGTTTCTTTATTAGATGTATCACACACAGTGAGTGAAACAGTATTATTACATACTTGATGACGAGGTTTCGAAAAAAGATTCACGTATTGTACATAATCATATCAATCAATTGTAATCACACGACTTTGAAACTTGAGTTTTATAGTTTTCTTTGTTCTCTCCTATTAACCGTCGTAGGGGTAGTAGAACTTTCCAAATATCCGGGTGGACAGGTGTTGAATCATTCCTATTACATGTATTCCCTCTCCGTTGATTCGATAAATAAAGCTTCAGTCAGTCAGTTATCAATCTGTCCCTCCGCCCACTCAGTGACATTCGATTTTAAAACTGTCATCTTATCCAGTCCATCCTATTATATGGTTTTGTGTGTAACTGCATGTAGTGTAGTGTTATAGCTGAACTAATCTCCAGATTTCTTATCTTATTCGGGTCAACTAATCTAGATTTTGCTGCTGGGTTTTTATGTTCGGCTAGTCTGACTGACTACTAGTTTGACCTATGTATTTGACCTCACTGACAATCATTGCAGGTAGGGTATTAGATAAACTAAATTGTTTTGTTTTAAAGGCTCCACAGGATTGATCGTTTAACCGACAAAGCTTGTTTCTAATTGAGTTTGTGGGTGGGTGGGTGGTTTGAATGCCAACAGCCACTTTTATTCCTGTCTGCCTTGTTAAGAATTCTGTGTAAGGTGGTTTCCGAGGTCCCTTCCTTGTATGGAATTACCACTGATGATTTAGATTCCTTATTGTTGGTGTTGTCATTATCCTGAGCATATTTGACATGCATGTCGTCATTATTATTACTCTTATTACTATAATTATCACTACTATCATTATTTATTTTATTTTTACATTTCCCTACATATTTCCTGAGTAATTAATTTATCAGGGTAAGTATTAAGTTTCAAGGCTTCTTTTATGTGTATCACATTGTGTCTTAGATTTTCCTTGGTACTACTTAGTTTTTGTGCTCTGTCACTTAAACATTTTACCAATCCTATTTTTACTGACATAAGGTGGGTGAGATGATCTGAAGTCCAAATATCTATTTGAATGTGTGGGTTTCCTGTAAACACACTAGTGTGTTTAACTTTCCATCTTCTTTCCTTTCTACGCTGCACTCTAACATTGGAAGCTTCCGTTTTGAGTGACTTTCCAATTCATAAGTGAATAGAATCGCCTCCATCTTTGAGTTAATGTGTTCGAAAAATCTATCTATATCCTGTGTTCTAAGGACAGTGAATGTGTTATCTACATACCTCCACCATACTACGATGGGGGGGTGGAGCTGAACGTTTCAATCGCCATGTTTTCCCACCTATTCATGAATATATCTGCTACAACCTGGGATATTGGTGATCCTATGGGAACTCCCTCAGTTTGTTTGTATATTTTTCCTTGGAATTTAAATACTGTGGAAGTCAGGCATAGCTAGCCGCACTTCCAGCATTATGTCCTCAAGTGGTAATTTTGTCCTAAGTTCGAGTTCTTGGTCAGAAATGAGTTCGTTTCTGACTGCCTCTATAGCCATATTTAATGGTATACGTGTATATAAACTAACAATGTCAAAAATAACCATTTTCTCTCCGTCATTTAATTTTAAATTGTCTAATCTATGTTTTAGTTCATAAGAATTAGTGAGTCTAGATTTTGAGTAGTTTTTTAGGGGATTTAATACCATAGCTAAATATATTTAGTTAATTCATAAGTAGGTGAATTTCTGAAATCAACTATAGACCTAATCATAGGGTATCCTGACTTCTGAACTTTAACAACACCATACATCCTACTGGGATTGTTGTTAGTTTTGGGCATTAAATTAAACCACTTAGACTCGCCTAGAAACAGCTTCATTTGGCGTATAAGGTCTATATTAATGTATATATATATATATATATATATATATATAAGGGTGTGGTGAGAGCAGGCTGCTAGCCAACTGGTAGACATTAATTTACATCAATGTCTAGGTCGCTAATATTGGCCATGAGAAAATATGAACAAGGCTGATTCAACAACCAATCACAGCAGACTTAACATGGGCAGATACGATTCACAGATTATGGGACCAAATATTGGAATTTTTTCACAATCATGTTAATCATTAGGTTTCACCTCTGAATTCGGTTGCAATGGATAGTAAGGCATATTATATTGGATATCATGGAAAATATTTGTAGCTCAGATGGATGATTTTAATGTAGTTTTGTGTTCTCTGAGCTATCTGGATGGTTTATTTGTGAAGCTTTCATCGCCCCTTACGAGACAACATCTTGAGCGCATGCTTCAGTTTGAATTGAAGTGAGCTTTTAGATCTCTCCACGAGTTGATGAATATTCTCTTCTCTTGGGTGACCTTGAAGGTGATTGGCCGTTTTTGCGTGATTTCACACCCGCTAGTCTACACTTGTTTTGGTAATGATTGTTTCCTTGACCTAAGCTTTGACCTTTTGTGTGTGAAATTTGCTTCTTATCGATTGGTAAATTTTGTTTCTATATCAGTTTATCCATTGGATGGAGGATTTCATCATGAGCTGACATTGATTACAAAATCATTGAAAAACCTGGGAGTACTGGACATCTGTTTCGTCGTCCTAGTTTGGGACTCCGCTTCATCAGTACGCACCCACTGCACCACGGGGGTTTCGAACCCAGGACCTCCTGGTTACAAAGCGAGCTATCTTGTAGACGATTGAGCCACTGGGGGATCCAATCCAGTGGTTCATGAATTCTAACTTCTACCAATTCACGACATAGCGTGACCATTTTGTAATGTCTTCTTCGATGAGCTACTGCTGCCTCATTTTCAACCTGGTCATTGCTTCCCACGAGAACCCGAAGTCACTGCCTGAATAGGGCCAGTCGCTAGTGAGCATCAGATTAATTTTCAAGCATTAGCATTAGTAGGGATTTTCGTTTGATTGAATGGAGGATTTCTCATCATGAGCTGCCTGTGTGGTTAGAGAACCACTGGAAAACTTGGCAGTATACTGGACAGCTGTTTCGTCAGTCTAGTTTTGGGACTGATGATGAAATCTTCCATCCAGTCTAACATAATTCCTACAAAAATCGATACTTGAAAATTTATCTATTGCTTGACGATTGATTGGAATATAACAGGCTTCTAAAAATTCTCCGTTATTCTTGGTGTTTCTTATGTCTAATATTTGAACGCTGATTGTCCCAGTCGAAACGATGTCCGGGTGGATATGAGAGAGTGGATGTCATGTCTTTTGACGGCTAGTTTATGATCATAGATAGAAA